AATGGTTTCCACAAACATCCCTAGATGCAATACGGGTATTCTCTAGTGGGCATAATAATTTCGTAAACCCTGTTTTTCAATGTTTACAATATATCCTATATTGAATTGGAGCTCAATTTATTGCAAAATGAATAAATTCTCGGTATTTCCATTTACGATTTGGCTGCTACTTCAACTAATCTGAGAACACTAGACAACATTTTACAGACTGATGTACTTCGTTTGTGTGTGCATGTATGTGATCATAATCAAGTGAAACCCGCTCATTTGTATTTGCAGCACAGTCACATACTCAGTGACCTTTGCAGCAGAGTGAACATCTGAGTTAAATTACTTGCAAAATCAGAAATCACAGTTCCACCATTTCACTAGTAATCTACATTAAAGTAGGTAAAGCCAAATTCAGATTTTGTACTAGTGAGCAGGTTACTGTAAATATATATGCAAAGCATTATGGGAGAAAGAACATACCATTGGATATAAGTATCCTTAAACTATCAAAACAACAAATGTTTACAAAAATTTTAAGTTCGAGAGATGGGTTCATTGCCAATAGTGCTAGCAAATTTATTGACAGCATTTTATTTTACTATAAGTAATTTTACTTAGACTTTAGTTATTTATGTATTTTCTTTTGTCTCGTGTGTGTACTTGTGTTTTATTATATTTAATGTCTTTTGACCACAGATAATGTAACAAAATATATTATTTAGTGTCAAATAAAATATACTATACTATAAAGTATATAATTAAATGTTAATTTAAATGTTTTTACAATATTAGGATTCATATTAGACTTGCTTACTGGTCTTTTTTTTTCCAAAAAAAAATAATCAGAGATTGAAAAAAAAAATGCAATGCTCTTGAAAAAACAATTGACTTGTATCCCTTGCATATGCCCTCATTGGCACAATCTTTAACCAGTGATGTAACATGACTAGTTTCTACAATAACCAGTAAGAAACTATTATATTCACATAGTATACATATAGCATTCTAGTGTTTGTTATTATGTCCTGAGACCACAGTTTTCAGTATCTTAATTGACATTAATCCATAATTGAAAACATAGAGGAGATTACATATAATCTAAAATTTGACCCAAACCTCCATAATGTGGCAAAGCACTGTAGGCTACGAGTACCACCATTATCTAGTTAGACATTAGTATAATTGTTTGCACTAACCGTAAATTTTTCCAGAAGAACATTGAGTAGTACTTGATTTCCGTGGCTATTAATAAAATTCATGGCGATTAACTAGCATAGACAAACAAATTGTGACATCTCTAACCATTCTTCAATGTCTATTTTAGCTGCATATACAGTTACGTTAGTAATCAATAGACATATTCAATATCTTTGGGTTAGACTGAGACTGCATATAGACAGATACCTTTATGTGACTATTACAGTTAGAGTCTTTGCAATAAGATGACTTCCAAAACATTCAAATTTTATTTAGAAATTGAGTAAATAAAATATTCTGTTCTCAAATTGTGTTGTCTCACTTACTTTACACACACACTTTTAAACTAGTAATGTACACACACGCTGATCTGACATGTTAATTTAAAGGATATTTATAACAGCAAATAATACAATATTTACAAATATTAAACCTAAATATGTAGTAATCAATATACATAGAAAACATTGCATACAATTTATAAATTGAAATCACACAGAAATATACTATGTTGTAGAATTTTGTGAAGATGCATAACTTTTATTGTCTGTCTCAAATGCATTCTAATTGGAAGATATGTGTTCAGTGAAGCATGTAACAAATCAATGCAACAAACAGTATTACAACTCTAATATAGACAGGTGTGCCCTCCTATAAGGAAATACACCTTTTTATGTGGCACAAATGCCCATAGTTGAGCAGACACCCGTATTACTTGGCAACAATTAAATTTAAGATTGCTGCAAAGTGTTTTTAAACCATGTATTTTGATATAACCGGCAACTTGACTTACTTGATTACAGAATTGAGACATAAAAGTTTAGCTACAAAAATTTATATAAATACAAAATTGACATGACCATTTTTTGGTGTAGTGGATCAATTCAAATTTCTTTTAGGACCAGATTCGGACAGTGCAGTCAGAGCCACCAGACACCAAGAATTCACCGGTCTTATCGAACACCACAGTCTGAGTGGCATCTTCATGTCCAATTAAACTGGTAATCTGAAATAAAAACAAAAGTCAACAAGAGTTACAACAGTGGTAATTACTAGATTCATGTTAAGGGATCTCGACATGTGTCGAAATTTTTAATCCTTTGTGTTTGCAGAGGGATTACAGCAGTTGCGTTCACGTTATTCGGGACCCATTTAGGACCAACATGGCTTGTGCCGAAATCACGCCCTCATTCCTCTATCTGTTATTTGACCCAAACATGGAAAACAATATGCATATGATGATAATAATAATTGCTATACTAAAAATATATCCATCTGTTATCATAATGGTATTTATTACGAGTCATCATACACATGAAATTTTTTATTCGATGAAGCATTGCAAGAAAATAGCGGTTGCAGGAGCACATAAATATGCGCCGCTGACGACTGTTTGCATTCATTTCATGCATTACTACAGCATCCGACCATATAATAGTATATATGCATTTCCTGTCATCGTCATTTCATAGTAGTATGATTCGGCATATGTTCTCTTAAAGTTACCACCGATGGTGTGATTTCGGCTCGTGCCAAGCGTTCAGGCAGCAAATTGAGTTTTGGTCTCAAGCATTTATCGGGACCGAGATCGAGTTTTTTTCTGCACGCGTGGACTTGGTCCCGACGGTTCACACACAAGTTTCGGTACGTGCCGACTCGACCCCGAGTCTCGGTACGTGCCAAGGTCTTTAACGTGAACACCACTAATGTAACAAAAATGAACTTCTCACAACAATAAAGTGTATTTTGAAGAACAGTCAATCCTATGGCAGTGTAGAATAAAGTGTTAGAATCAAATTCAAGTTCACCATGGCACTGTATACTATCAATATGTATTAGTGATGTTGTAAAAAAAAACCCAGCAACATGAACCAGGCCTTGCCTAATGACAGTAAGACTAGTGATTAGAGTTAAAATTTATGTGTATTTATTATACATGGAAAACAAATGGGAAAACTTATCCCCAAAAAATCCAACAAAATGCAAGTACTGCTGCAGTCTCGCATGTCAGAACACAGTTGTGCGTGTTTAGTGCATGGTAAATTGTAAATTTGTGTTACTAGTATTTAGCCAAATATCACCCCCTCATAAAAATGGTTTGATCTTACCAGTCTTAATCAGGTAGCAATCTCAAGTTAGCTGTCAATACATTTCCAAACTGACACTCCTGAGTGCATTTTTTTTTTCTCAAATTTGTTTTGTTTATTAAAATTATTGAGCAAAAACAGTTTGTGAATATATTTGATGATAATTAATAATAATTAATATGTGAGATCTAAATATTTTTTGATTTGAAGGTTGTGTACATGCAATCAGCATTTGTGGTAATAATATATGTCTATATACTAGACATTAGGGTTCACGTATTGTAATATAAGAGACATAAAGTCATTAGTGTCTATACTGTGATTATCAATGTTATGTACAATTCACAATGGGAATAGACACACATATAATGTACCGTATCTTAAATTGCAAGCATTACAAAAATAGTGAATCTGATATCTTCACTAGATGCTTACAACTGTCATGTACAATACATACCACAATCTGTGTATCAAAGCTATCAATTAATCAAAAAATATTAAAACATACAGCAGGCTGGTAATAAGTAAGATACTTGACCCTAATTGATATTCACTGGGGCACTGTGTGCATGGCTCAATCTAATCAAGCACACTGTAGAGCTAATCCAGTGTGACAGTGCTTCCATTTACAAACCCGGTATTGATTTCATGCAGTATTTAGCATGGTAATTTTCAGTCTTCATAAGAATACATTACATGCAGTTATTTAAATTAACAACCTGGACTGGAATGTGACGCTTATTTGATTCAAGAGTCTCTGTTATTATGCTTTCTGTGTAGTGTTTGCTCTGCTCTTTGACATGCCCTTGTACGTTCAGAACCTACACATGTCACATACAATATAATTACACTAAAGTATGTCACAGACATTACCAATTTAATACCTAGGGAATGCAATTTAATCTTAAATATAAATTAGAAGATTGTTAAGATTGCTAAAATTGCACACTTGGCTAGATGAATATTTATAGAATTTTTCTCTGACAGTTACAGGATATCAGTATTTATATAATTTAGTTCAGAGACCTCACTGGGCATGCTCTTGTCAAACAATACACTCACTGACAAGTAATGTATAAAAGGCAGCTGTGTTTCAATGATAACATAATATTTTCAATTTTATCCTGACAATATTTTGTGATAAAGTATCATTACAGAGCGTCAAATCCAGAAATCTCAATTTGTATAATTGTCTACCCTAGTATGTAACACCTAACCCATGTAATATAACTGTTCCACAGATACTGCAACGATTAGGATTTTACAAACCTATCTTTTTTCAATTCAGCCTCTAACTCTATTTTAAGTCATGTTTTATTAATATTTTGAACGTAACTTTTAAATTTAGATTTGATATTAGAATTGTTCCATCTTTATTTCTGAGATTATTCTTAACCATCTATATTTTGTGGCATTGGGATATAAAGGCTATAATAGCAACACATATAGACAATTTGTAATATAAAATATTAATTATTAATATATATATACACTGCAAGAGTAAGGACGAGTACCATTTCTCCAATAGAATAACAAATAAATCAAATATTGCATTTATTATGCACAGGATTATTCAAATATAGCTGAATGTCATTTACATATGCACATGACACACTACAAAATAGTTTGGTATTTGTATACATGCATACTCTTCTATTTTTCCAAATATATTCCACTAATTAAAACCAGTGCAAAATACAAATTTGTACATAGCATGCAACTAAACCTAATTCACGTTTCCAGCTCAGTGAACAAATATTAGTGCCAGAATTCAACTAAATTAGATATTAATCTGACGTCAACGCAAAGGTAAAATTTCAGGAAAGCCAGCATGCCTATGAAGTGAAATTTATTCTACTGTTAACAAAATGATTTTCCTCTGACTCATCTGGAGCTCAATATTTCTTTTATTATGGCTACATTGTGATGAGACCTATGGAGTATATTATCACTTTCTACTTAGGCTAATTACAGAATGTGACCTTGACTATAGAAATAACATCAGTACAATTTTCAATCAATTCTGTATATTGTACACATACAAATAATTTCAATTGATCTGTCAAAACAAACTGTTATTTATAAACGAGAAAGCCTTTAATTTAGTATCATGA